TCAAACTCAATTCAATAACTCAACCCAACCTAAACATGTATAGCAATTCATGTATTTTTTAAAATGAAATTGTTGCTGGACTTGTTGAAAGTGTACGATAGTATGTATTTATTGCAATTAGTTATTAAATATTGTTTTGTTTTACTATATATTAATGTATTTATTTGTTTAAACTATTTTAAATTTTTACCTTTTTTATTTATTAAAAAAAATAAGATTAAATTATATATATTTAATATTTAACAAGAACTCTGTATATTCGCAGGGATATATCATTCTTCACAAATACGAGAACAGAGGTAGTTTTTTATTTTCTATCAAAAATTTTCATTGAGATCTCTATACTTATCATTGACAGAAATGAAGATGGAGAGGGTATCCCTACCCCCACAAGTACGCGTTGCCATCCTTAAAAATGCATATCCATTTATGTTTCAACGGGCTACTTCCAAGGAAAAAGCAGAATAGTATGGATACTTCATACTTGAGACTTGAGTTCCCTCCCTTAGGCCTCACCCCTGGGAAGGGATTTGTCCACTCAAATTGGACATTGGACAACTTTTGCTTTATGTGGACCCAAATGCCTCTTTTGTTTTACAGAGATGGACATTGGCCATGAAATCTTTACGTTATTTTGTTTTAATATAACAGAAAAACAAAATTTAAGATGATTTGGTATTTAAAATAGGACATGTGAAAACGCCATTATGATGAGGCTTGAGCGGACGTGTTTATTATGTTCTCGCTGCACAGGCCCCTTGATTGTGGGCTTTCTATTTCATATCGACTATGGTTTTATGAGCTTAATAGGATATATAAAATTTTATATAATTTTAATTTGATTTGTTTTAAAATTATAGTATATTTTGTTTTCATTAAAAAAAATAAAAGATGTAAAAAATTAAGATATAATATTATTAAAAAATAATAATATATTCAATTAAAACTACATAATAATTAGATATAATGTAAACTTCACTTAAATTTTATTGATTATGCAGTTGGGATGGAATATTTTAATATTTTTAAAAACAAAACAACTTAATTTTTATTTTTTATTTAAAATATTAAAACTGTCTTTAAATTTGTTTAAATATGTTTAGTTCTTTTTATCATTTTAATTTGTCATGATATTTTAATTTTCTGCATTCTTTTAAAACCATTTTAGCCCCATTCTCTTTTAATACTTTTTGGTTATAAATGACCAATTTAAAAGTCAAAAGACTATTAATTCATGTTCTACCGGAACTTGATTGACAAAACCACAGCGTTAGTTTTTAATTTTAATTTTTATGATAATCAAATCATTTCAATTTTTTTTTTTTAATTTGAGGATTTTCAAGTGGGCAAATATATGAGTAAAGAATTGTAAAAATGAGTAAAGAATTGTAAAAATTGGTAAAGAATTCGAGTCTTTCCTTAAGAGTGATTCCTGGCCATCCCCCTAAATTGTTCGAATTAGAGCATTAAAAAAGTTCTATAATTTCGTAATTATTTCATGCAATAGTTTCTTAATTTAGCCCTTCTATAAGAACTTTACCTAAATAACAAAAGCTCCAATAAAATTCTTTTTGGCAAAAAAACAAAAAATCAGGAATTAACTGCTTTTGCCAAACAGAGGATTTAGAGAGTGTGACAAAACTTAGAAAGCGTTTTTTTTTTTTTTTTTAAGTATTATTTATCTCTCATAAATTTAAAATTTTATTGAAACTAAACAATAAAAACAGGTTTTTAAGTGAGCTTTGAAAAAGTCATATATTTAAACTTTTTCAAAGCTACACATAAATTTTTTAAAATTTATTTAAAACCTACTTTAAAAGACAATTTTTGAATTATTTTAACAATTTTAAATTTGTGTGACATGAATAGGGCTTTTATTTTGTTAGAACATTTGAGATAGGTTATATAAAAGAAGTTACCCCTCTCCTAAATCCTTTTTACCAAACTCAAGTTTTCAATTTGAAATTTTCTAACTTGAAATTTAAAGTTTTTAATCAATTAAACTATTCCATGAGAGCTTAAATAATATATACATATATATATATATATATATTTTTTGACCAGGTAGATGGTTAAAAAGTTAGTAGAGTTAGTTTGTTAGCAGCTGAAATTTTTTCAGGAAAGTGAACCCCTTATTTGAGGCGCGTGATCATCAAGTTGCAAGTTGGTGGAATTCACGGCGGTGACAGAGCTCGAAGCCCTGACCTCCGCCTCACCCAAGCCCTAAAGCTTGGGGACCAACCAATTGGACCACAACCCGGTTGGCGCTTAAATAATATATTTAAAGTAAAGTGCTTTTTAAGTTTTATCAGACAACTTTGTTAGTGGGTACCAAAAACACTTTTTTGTTTTTTTGATATATCAAATGATGAGCCATATAGCATGGGATAATCTTCCTCTTTCCAAACCCCTTTCCATCTATTAAAAAATTTGAACTTGAAACCTTCAACATAAATTTCAAACTCTTAGTTATTAGGACATCTAGTAGAGGCGTCAAAAACACTTCTACAAAAACTTTAACCAAGGCAAAAAAAAAAAAAAAATGTTAGTAAGTTTTGTTTTGCACAATATGTATATGAATTATGAAATGAAACATCACCTTCTCAGGATGAGGGTTTTGAAAGGCGTGAACACAAAATCATTAAAAATTAGCATATTAATAGAGACTGATGAATGTGTTTAAAATTAATTTAACATGATAGAAACTGACCAAAAACCTAAAACAAAGGATCATTTGGAGTATTAAAATGAAGGTGTCTATAGAAACACCATAGAAGAAAATGCCAATTTTTGTTCTTGAAAGTAGCATAAAAGACGACATGTTTTATTCAACATTCCTATTCAGAACCCATTAACTCCTGCAGGGCAAACCTACACTCCCACCGTCTCAATATGTAGTTCATTCAGCTCTGTTGATCCAATGGCCTTTCAAGTACCTGCAAGGAAAGCAAGAAACATAATCCATGTAAGGATTCAGAACAGATAAATGGTTAAGAAGTTTCAGGACAAGGTGCATCAGATTCATCTATTGTCTTAGACTAAAATCTTGTTAAATAACAAAACCATCATTTGAAATTGACTTTAGTACAGCCAAGTTAGAACCCTATCAAAAAACATGAATTGTAGAAACCTTAGTTAATGAATTGATAACTCAGAAGGACCAATTTCAGAAGGGAACCACAACTTTGATAGCCTTTAACTGGTTTCTTTAGGTGATCAATGAATGCTGAAAATATTAGCAGTAGTCAATAAAGGCTGGTAATAAACGGATAAATCAGGGTAAAAGCTTAACTGAAGAAACTTCAATATGTAAATCCTAGCTTGTTGTAAAAGTTTCAAGTGATATGACTGTAATGAGGAAGTAAGCTTACAGGAAAATTGATTGAATAGAACCAACTAAGTGAAACAGTAAAAGTAATATGCTCATTAACTTTAACCAATATTTCCCAGTCTTGCCTATCAATACACGCAAACTACTAATCCTAACAAATGAATGTTGCAAATGAAAGACACATGATCTAATACCTGTTTGCCATCAATGAGTTTAGATTGTTCATCTCATTTAATTTGTTAATAGCCTTAAGTACCAATCACACTTATCAAAGAGCAAAGACACCCAGAGTGTTAGTTAAGAATAGAAAACCTAAAAAAGAGTTGGAATGTATCTAATGCAGAAGCAGTAGAACCAAATACCTATGTTTATATTACAAGGCTAAAGCCATTAGTTTATCCACTAATCATAAAACAATAGTGATTTACTGTATTCAGTATTTATTTTGATAACAAAAGAGAAACTATAAAAAAAATAAAAATAAATAAGAAACCTACAATGTAGCATCGTTCTCTTCCCTTTAGCTGATTGAAAGTCCACGTGCATCACCCATCTTTTCCATCCCTCCCTATCAATCCCAATCCCAATTCTTCTTATCAACAAAATTCAAAAATTTAACAAAAGCTACCTAATCTATGCCTGTTTCTATCAATGAAATGCAAGGTATAAAATCATTACAGGAAGAAAACAGACTACTGGGTGAAAATGAAGTTATTCAGGAGATATGAATAACAACTGTTCCAGTTTATCGTGCATCCTAAAAATCAGTAAGACTCACGAAGAGACTACTAGCGATCCTGACAAGAACGGCAGAAGGTACCATTAGACAGCTCACAAAAAGCACGCACGTTGACTGTCAGGTGGGATGTGAGACGGGCCGTGGGCACCACACTTTGCAGAGGCAAGAATGATTGCACACATCCCAGTTCTCCCAAATTCCTGAAGCAACAAATTAAAGCCAGTAAGGAAACAATGAAAAAAAAAAATCAACCAAGGGCTTCATGTTGTTGCTGGGCAAGTGTCAGGAACCTCAAAATTCAATTATCACACATCCAAGCCAAGTCGCAATTGTCACAATCATCGAAACATGTGGCATTGTAAAGCAACAATGAAAAACAGAAAAACTTGTGTAGGAGTTGCATACAAATAGTCATTCCTTTACTCAGCCATCAAGGGATTAAAAAATTAATCCACTAATTAAATCAAATTTAATCTCTTTCCCAGCAGAAATAACAAAAATTCCTAAATTGAAAACTGAAGGACGAAATATGTAATAAATAGTTCTCAAACAACATCAAACGCCCATAATTGCAAGGCAAAAGCCCCATGTGAAATGATTGAGAACGAATTTTCGAAGAAATGAAAATTCAAAACACCCCAGAATTTTAGATCTCAAAGCAAAATCTCAACCATCAAAATCTCTCCTAATAACAAGTGTACATTTTTGTGAAAGTTTTAGAAGAAATGGGCATTCAGTAATGAATAAAAGTTTTATTAAAACAGTTTCATTTTCCTTCATTTTATTCTCTTTTGTCTTCTAAGGAAACAAACAGGGTTTATGGGTTTGAAATAAGAACCTGGAAGGCGCAAAGGATAGTCGACGGGACTGCCGGCGGGGGACTGCGGAAGGCGATGGTCGGATGCGGGGCACCGGAGGTGGAGAACGGAGCAGCGGAGACCTCGCGGCAGACATGACAGAGCGAGAGAGAGATCCAGCACCGCGCCAAGCCATTTTCGCTATCGTTTGTGACTACCGTTAGGGGAGAAAGGAAGAAAGGGGTTAAGGTTTCAGCTTAGGGTTTAAAGGGTATTTTTGTATTTTTCTAGGTGGCTGTAACCTGCTGTGTTGATGTATTGACTAAAGCCGTTATTTGCACCCTCTATTTATATAATTTTCGCACTCAACACCTTTTAAAATTTTTTTTCTCTATTCACACATTTCACTTTTCAGAACTTATGAAAAACTCAATATTTTAATGGACCATGACGTCCTTGTTAATAACTGTTAAAAAATGCATTATGTGGCATCCAAATAATGATGCAGGCGTTATGTGGTATTATTTATCTAATGTGACAATTTTTTGATGATGTGGCATGATGACATGGGATAATTTTATGTGAAAAACCTCTCGACCAAAAAAAAAGTTAAATGTTAAATTTGATCCCTCAACTTGATAGAGTTTCACTTTTTTGGTCCTTCAATTATTTTTTGCACATTTTTTATTTATCAACTCTAAGAATTGCATAATTTTGATCTTCTGTCAGTTAACTCACAGCTAGCAGTTAAATATTCTAGAATGGCACCTTTTTAGTGACATGTCAATGACAAATCATATGATTAGCTTAGGTATACATGGCAACTCAGATTTAATTGTTATTTTTAATTCTTTGTCACTGTTTCCAGCCATTTTTTCTCTCTTTGTCACTGTTTCTCTTCTCCCCTCCCACTCATCCCCCTTCTTGGCCATGATTGGGTTCGTCACGAACCCAGATATGTTCTGGGTTCTTCGCGAACCTAGATCTATTCTGGGTTCGTCGCAACTTTAATATCAAAAATCAATATTGAAACTGAGAAAACATGGATCTGTAATGCAATATTCATCCACATATACTAAAATAATGATTTAAAAAGGAAACAAAAATACATGCAAATGTGAAATCAACTTATGAGTTACGACTAATGCAAACAAGCAAAAGTTATAGTCTCACAGAATACATATTAGCAGGCTCCAAATGCTTGAGAAATGACAATGCAGAAGTTTTGAAAAACCAGTTAATAAGGTTGCAATGAAGAAAAATTTGTAGCGAATTTATCAGTATTTTAACACATATTGCTAGAAACAAAAATGATTTTGGGGGAAAAGAATATAGAAATCAGCGAATGTAGTATGCCTTTACTTTTGCCCAAGTTAGTCTCCAATTTTTATCCTTTTCAAAAACCATGGTAGAAACATATCTAAAGAACCTAATTAGACATGCTCTTTAAACAATTCTAAAAGGGATGCAATATGCACAAAAGAAGCAAACATTGGAATCAATCTAGCTGATAATTGTGTACGAAATGCTAGTGTCGACCAAATATTGCTCAGCTTTTCTCTTCCAAACCCAACAGATCTGGGTTCGATGTAACCTAGCAAATGGGTTCCATTGAACCCGAGCTGGGTTCGATAGAACCTAGTTGGTGGGTTCCTCGAACCCAACAGATCTGGGTTCGACAAAGCCTAGCCTGGGTTCTACTGAACCCAACAGATCTGGGTTCGATGGAACCCAATAGATGGGTTCCATCGAACCTGAGCTGGGTTCCCTTGAACCTAGATCAACTGGGATTAAGGGAACCCAGCAACACAGAGGAAGAAGAGGAAGAAAGAAAAAGAAAAAGACAAGAAGAAGATGGATTGAAAGAGGGGAAGAAGATGGATCAAGAAAGGGAGACAGGGGTATTAAGGTAAATTTGTAGTTTTTTATTTTTTT